TCTTCTCCTCCTCCTCCTCCTCCTCCTCCTCCTCCTCCTCCTCTTTCTCCTTGCAAACCCCCTCCCTTCTATCACTGACGATGTTCCCTAGTTGGGTCACGAAATGTCTGCAAGAAAACCACCAATGGAAAAAAAGAAAGAAAGCGCTGAATCCTGTACCGTCAGCGACTGCAGAGTTCTCTCCAGATGTATAATTTATCCTTCGCATCCCTCCCTTCCCTCGTTCAGGGACCCTCAGTATTTCAATCCCGACCTCCAAGGAGCATCAACCTTTCAAGAAGTGCCTCCGGCTTCTCTGAAGTTCTCATTATTGACGGCAAGGTGCTCATACCTGCATTAAGCCCCACCTGGATGACTGCTGTGGGGCTTGCCGTTCCTCCACTGTGCTATTCCTGGCAGCTCCCTCCCCTATTTCCCTCATTGGGCCCCCTCCCTCTCTCTGCCTGGCAGAGTCTTCCTTGCAAGGGAGCGCATCACATTCATTAAAATGGGACCTTGGAGGTCTTCTAGTCCAGCCCCCTGCTCCAGCAGGAGACCCTCTATAATTCCCGAGAATTGGTTATCTGGTCTCTTCTAGAAAGCCTCCAGGGATGGAACTTCCACAACTTCTGGTAGCAAGCTGTTCCACTGGTTAATTAACAGAATAACAAAATAACAGAGTCGGAAGGGACATTGAAGGTCATCTAGTCCAGCCCCCTGCTCAAGCAAGAAACCCTATATCATTTAGGACAAGTGATTGACCAGGACTCTTCTTAAAAGCTTCCAGTGTTGGAGTATCCACAACTTCCAGAGGCAAGCTTTTCTTTTTTTTAATTTAAAAAAAATAAACTTCATTAAAGATATGTGTGTGTGTGTATATATATATAAATAAAACACCTAATACGACACATTTCATTAAAAACGAAACCAATGGGAAAAAAAGCAAAACTAATAAACACGAAAGATATATTTTTCTAATTATTTAGATGGTGTATTCTTATCACAAAAATTTTCTAATATTCATTTCCTATTTTTGGCAAACATTCTTGTTCTAACAACCCCTTTATCTTTTCCTTTCCTTATCTATTTGTACACTGGTTTTTATCCTGAACGCAATTATACCAGTTTTCCCAAACTGTACAATATTTTGAGTCTACCTCGTTTTTTTAGCTTGGGGCTAAGTTGTTCTACTGATTAATTATCCGAATATCGGAGTTGGACGGGACCTTGGAGGTCTTCTAGTCCAACCCCGTGCTCAAGCAGGAGACCCTATATCATTCTGGACAAATGGCTCTCCAAATCTTTTCTTAAAAACCTCCCGTGATGAGGCTGTTCCACCCTCCCTTTTATCATGTCAGGCCAAGGCTGCCACGTGAAGCAAAGTTCACAATAAGAAAGAGGTTCAGCCTTCAATTGGCCCTAGTTGCCTATTTTGAGGGGAGGGGACAAGGGGCTGGAGGAGAAGATTGGCTTCCTCTAGCCAAGTCCATTAGGCAACTGTCAAAGCAAGCTCGGCTGTGTCCTCAGGTTGGAATGACTTTGATGACCCAAAGGGGCGTGGCACGAAAGCAACAAAGTCACAAAAGTAGATCAAGTCCCTTTAATACCTCCAAGTTGGCCCCCAATGTCCAGTTATCGCTGGTTGGAGAAAAAAATTCTCCCAAGAACAGTTTTTAAAGGGAAGAAATTCAGTCTGAACTCAAAGTACATATAGATTATAAATAAAAACCAACACACACCACGCTGCAGCAATTAATGAGACAGGGCAGGGTAAGGAATTGCAGACTTCAAAAGATAACGAAAGACACACAGTTGGGAGGACGCCAGAACCCAGATAAGATTTGACCAAAGAAGATAATTCACACTTCACTTCCAGCATAGTGCTGTGCACAAACACCCTTTTAAAATCCTGTTTTCCCAGCTGCAGCTAATGAAGGGAATCAGGGCCCTTTCCTCCCCCATAACCCATGTTGCTCCCTTATCCATTCCTCCCTGCGTGCCCTAGGATGAAGAGGGGATGGGCCTGGGTCTTCCTCTGAATGCCCAGCTGGACTGTGCCCTTCCCCAGTTCCCTCCACAGCCACCGGAGCCACACTCCCACTCCCTGTCAGCTGCTCGATCTTCCCCTCGGAATCAGATTCCAACAGGGGCATGACAACCATGGATTGAAAAACACTGCCTTCCTTCCTCCTGTCAACTCCCTTAAAAATGCAACTGCTTCTTGACAGACCCAATTCATGTCAGATGGCATTTTTTTGGCTATTATTAGTGGGTCAACTTGCCAGTGGTGGGATGCTGGCTGGGGAATTCTGGGATCTGAGCCACAAGTCTTAAAGCTGCCAAGATTTTGCACCCCTGTTCTAGATCGCCAATTAGTTTAAATAGGTCATTGGGGCATTCCAATAAACAGGACCTTCCATAATACAAGGTTAGTACAGCGGTTCTTGGTGCTCTCTCTGAGCTTGGTTGTTTTCTTGCAGATGTTTCATCATCCACACAAGTGCACTGATGATGTTACCTAGTTTGGTAATGAAACGTCTGCAAGAAAACAACCAAGCTCAAAGAGCATCAAGGGCCCCAGTGGTGGACTCTGAGCTACAGATATAATCTTCTATTGTTAGGATGACGAGGTGGACCACTTGCATCTAATCAGACAGGAAACCAACCTCCCTTCTAGCATTGATGAGGTTACCTAGTTTGGTAATGAAACGTCTTCAAGAAAACAACCAAGCTCAGAGATCAACAAGGACCCTACGGTACTCTTTTTTGTTCTCGCCATAAACCCTCCTCCCTTCCAGGGCTGATGAAGTTACCTAGTTGGGTCATGAAATGTCTGCAAGAAAGCAGCCAAACTAAGTGAGCACCAAGGAGCCCACTGCTTAATCCTAAACTACAAATATTCTCTTCTATCCAATCTATTTGTATAAAAACAAGAGAGCAAACCCCTTTCTCCCACTGAGGATGTTATCTAGAAATGTCTGCAAGAAAGCAACCAAGCTCAGAGACCATCAAGGAGCCCCCTTTTTCAACCCTGAACCACAAATATTCCCCTCAATACAGTAAGATAACTCCAGTCTTGATAGAAGTTGCCTAAAATTATTTGCATTACCCCAGTTTTCAACAGTCAGACAAATGCAGAGCTGACCGACACTAATACGTTTTGGCTCGTGTTGCCTTCTGCACAAACATATCCTACAGCTTTCCTTCCACAGAAGAAGCTAGACAACCCTGTTTGGTTTGATCTATCTCCATCCCTTCTGCTCCCTCACCAACCTGTTTTGACTTTTCTGAGGAGGAGAGCAAAATTGGGGAATTAGCTCACTTTCTCCAATACCCCTAAGTGACCCCAGGGTCATTCAAACGGCTGGTTAATTCCCTCCATGGCAAACCACGATCAAATGCATCGTACAGAAACAAGTTTTCCCATTAGACACCCATTTCAATAATACCATGTTTCCCCCGAAAATAAGATCCTGTCTTATATTTCTTTTTACCAACAAAAAAGGCACCAGGGCTTATTTTCAGGGGATATCATCTACTGACTAACCTCACTTGCACACATCACCCCCCTGGCATCCTTTTCGCTGTCACAGGCCTTCAGGAACTTCTTCTTCTGTGGCTGGCAATACTTTCCTGAAGGCCTCTGAAGCCGATAACAGAGCTCTGGATCGATCCAGAGCTTCGTTATCAGCTCCAGAGGCCTTCAGGAAAGCCTTGCCAGCCTTGCCGGCTTCAGAAGAAATGGGCCGGCCAGGCAGGTGTCGGGTGTGCGAGGCCTGGCTACAACTGTCCGAAGGTAAGTAGTAGGGCAGCTCCACCACGCCCTAACTTAATTTTTACCTGTGTACACTGGAGTGGGTGGAATCTTAATTAGGGTTTATTTTGGGGATAGGGCTTATTTTGGGGATAGGGCTTATGTTGGGTGCACATGTAAAAATCAAGCCAGGACTTACTTTCAGGGTAGGTTGTATATTCAGGAAAACAGGGTATAAATATGTGTATCGGCACCATATCCTGAATTGGAATTATAATTGTTGATTTGTAAATGTTGATTTCCAGCCCACACACACACACCACACATACAATTACAATATGAAGGAGCATTACCCCAGGACATAACAAGATGATAAGTTTGAATGCTGGATGCATTTTAAAAAAAAAAAAATGTTTGGGGCATTCACATAACCCCAGGTCCTTGGGATTATACCACCCGGTGACATGCAGGTAACTCTGATGTGACCTTTGTCTAATGGAACCAAGTTGGTTTATTAGCCTCTTGCCTACTTCCGTGGAGTTGTTTTGCTTTAACTATCCCACGCTCCTCTGAGTTACTGCTGCTTCTCCGAATCCTCCAGCCTTCACCGATAATGATGGCAAGGGAACTTCGGATGGCATTCAGGGAGCTGACCCCCAGACTAGACTATTGACTTATTTATGCAATTTAGCTGCTACCTGGAACGTAATGGAGATAATCTTTGTGTAAGGTGTTGAGCAAATGCATTTCCAGCGGATAGATGATTTTATTTCTTTGTTTTATTTCCTGACAATGACAACAATCAGTGGCTTGCCTCCAGAAACTGTGGGTGCTCCATCATTGGAGGTTTTTAAGAAGAGATTGGACAGCCATATAGAATAGAATAGAATAGAATAGAATAGAATAGAATAGAATAGAAT